TGCTCCAAGCAGCCGGCTGCGGTCCCCCGGCGCTCGGGCGGCGCGGTGAGCTCAAAGGGCTGAATCCCTCCAGCTCCATGAGTAACTGCCCCCGGGAGCCTGGGGTCGTAGCGCAGGGCCGGGAGCAGTTGTGCTTTCGGCCATGGCGGGCAGCTGCGGCTGCCCTGGGTGCCTAGGGGCAGGGGTCCCTAAATAGCGACGGGAAGTATTTTATCGCTTGGAAGAGGTGGACTGATGGATTGCGCGCACTGGAGCACTTTGGAGTTGCTGGGTGTAATGGGATGTCCACTTACTACTAAAGGTGTTTCTGGAGTGACCTGTAGGCAGAGGGGAGGCAAAGTTTGTGGGGAGACGGACGATTGGTGTAGTCTAATAAAACACTAATAAGTAGTGATTGCAGCTTCTGCTTTGCTGGTGGCTACTGTATTGTGGGTTTCTGACAATTTGGGGATTCGGGGGACAGGCTGATGGATAAATATTCTGTCACTATGTGTACATGCTGATGTTTAAAGTGTTTGGTGTAAGCTGATTGAGAAACAGGAATTTGGATTACATGGCTGAAACGTATAGATTTTTGTTGTTTATCTAGAGCAATTAGCGTATACATATATCAGTCAGCTGAATTGTGATTAATGAATTGCTAAGCTGTTAAGGCATCCTGAATGATTGTATTTCTGTAGAAGGCCATCCAAGTAATCTCTGTCCCGAAACTAAGGAATTACATGCCTCGTTAGTAGTCTAGTGAAGAGAAGGAGGTGTTTGGATCCTGTTCATGGTTTAAGAACACCTGCTGTAAAGGTGTGGGGATAACAGAGCCATATTGAACAAGCTTCAGAAAACTAGGGCCAACAAAGCTGGATTCCTTCTGACCTGCAGTAGGGATTTGTGGCATAGGAAGGGTTCGTCTCACCAAGAGATGACTTGACTACAGCAAGGAAACCTGACCTCAAGAGAGAGCTTGTAGTAGCTGCCATGTTGGGCAAAAAATCTGTGCGTAAAAAATTCTTTGAGGTGACTTAATAGGCTTAACTTGCTTGACTGTCATGCTCTCTTGTTTTCAAATATGTGTGATTCTCAGAGCATTAATGCATACTGTACACAAGTATGGTCCCTACCTTGAATTGTAAGTCCATGTTTCATATGTGTATAAAAGCTGTGTTTTGCAGCATCTTGAAGACTGGTATCTGGATATATGAAGCTGAATGTAAATATACAGAATTAAAAATATAATGAGATTAATATGAATGAATATGGTAATTACATGAGAGGATTTATGTTTGAATGTAAACAGTACATATTTTTCTAATTGGTCTAATAAAAATATGATCTCTTCCTACTGCTTTTTCTATCTTTGGCATATTTGATGGACTAAGGACCTGGCCCCTTGCTACTCGTGCTCAGACCCACTCAGGGCTTATGCAGTAGAATGCAGCAGTCAACTAATCAAACTTACACATCACTAATAACATTTTTTATAGTCATTGGTAGCAGTTGGTCTGTGTTTCCATGGACACGTTAATTTGGCTTCAAGGTGGTGTAGCTGTCTGAAAAGGTGTAAGCGGGACATCCTTCCAAATCTTGGCCATTGGTTCCTATCTATTCCCTGTCCTGGCACTAGTATTCTGTGGGCTGCAAAGACAATCCGAGAATTGATTTGACTGAAACTAATGAACAACAACAATCTGATCAAGCTTAAAATATGGCTATGTTAACACTCACTCCAACACAAAGGATGAGATGAGAATGAATGGGGTGGAAGCTTAGATTATTGGTTTTGGTGATGTCAAATTAAATGGCCTTTAATCTTAGGAGGATTGGCTTTTTTATTTTACCTTTAAACAGGAATGTCTAGGGGTGGCGAGTTGCCCATGATGCCCTTCAACTAGGCATGTGGCTAACAGCTCTTCAACTCTTTATTTTTATGAATAAATAATCAACACTGCTGGAATTTTGCTTTATTTAAAAAAAAAAAAAAGGGGGGGGGGGGTGGGGGGATGTGTTTTTTAGTGTCTGTTATTCCCTACAACCTTGTAAGAGTGATTAGATTGCATGCTTTAGAAATTTATATAGTATCTCTCTTAACAGGATGAAACCATATACGTTTTGAGCAGAGTGCGTGTGTCGTCTTCAGAGAACTATGAGAATTGGCTAGTTCAGTTTCTGGGCTGCCTTCCTGAATGATCCACGCTTTATGTTTGAATCTATTGTGATACACAGGCAGTCCACTGAGGAGGTCTGCCTACTTGGCTTATGACATAATCAGATTGTTTTCCTTTTCCTTGACTTTCTGCTATTATTTTTTCCTTGATAAGCCAATGGCTGCTTACCTGATAGTTACTAACAAGTTTGGAAGACGTAAGAATTCAGATAATTTTGTTAAATACTTGAATGGAGTTTCTTCTTCACTTTTCAGATTTTTTCGATCAAGTCTCTTTTTGAAATTTGACGCTTTGTCAGAACCTATTTCCTAAGTGTTAACATCTTTCTCTGTGCAGAGTGTAGGTAACAAATTTCATCAAACTTTCTCAAGAAGCTATTTTTTGAAGGAATGTTTTTTGAGTAAAGAGATAGGGATAGCATTTAAGGTTTTTCTGATGCTCTTGGAACTCAATTATTTACCTTTTTGAAAATATGAGGTAAAGATTTTGGTACAGAAGTTCAAATATTCCCCCTGCAATGGTCTGAGAAGAAAAGCTGCAAACTTTGCTTTAGCTTGAAATTACAGAAGAAAACCAGGAACTCAGCTGCTTGTTTTATGATAGAAGGGCAGGTTTGTATTTCCATTACAGAAAAAGCTTAAAGTGTTGCATTGAATGACCCCCTTTTTTGTTCATTATTGGCACAGAATGGTGAATAAGTGTACATTGAAGGCAAAATATCAGTCTAAAGAATTGTTCTGAAGTTACGTCAGCAAAACAAAATTATGGAGTTTGTCCCTACTATTCATTAGTTCTGTTGAACAGGTGTGTCAAAGTTGCTCTACAAGCAGTATTGTGAGTTTTTTGCATATGTTCTTAAAAGTTTACAACCTTTCTTTTATGGGAAATAAACATTCTGTTGTGTAAGGTGGTTTTCACGAGTAGTTCAAAACTGTTTTTAAATTTTATGAGAAGGGACAACAATCTAATACGTAGTAAAGAGATGTCTTTAAACAAATGTGGTATCACTTACATACTTGTCAGTAACTGTCCCATTCAGTCATTCTGCCTTTCACTAGCCTTTCTCAATTGCTTTGAATAATCTGGAATATTTATTAACATGTGTGCTCTATTGTGGAATGTTCTGATTTTAGTTATGTGACTGTTTATAGGCATTCAGGCAAAGCTTCTCTACGTTCAGCAATTCACTTTGAAAATAGGAAAATAAAGGTACAGTGTTCCTGAAAGAAGATTCAATTTTTAAAGGCAGTTTTAAAATTAACACTTTTGCCTTCAGGTGTCTCAGCAGGAGGGCCTGTGTATGGAAGCTTTTGTGCTGCCTCCCTCTTCTCCCACAGGTTGTTTCCAGAAATCTAACCTTCATGTTGATAAGTTTAATAATGAGAGTTCTAATGTTGAATGCTATATTAGTGCTACTGCTTGATTCCGTTGGAGATTATTTCTGTGTGAATAACTAAAGATTAGTTTAAAAATGGCTTTGATATTTTGCTAAATAGATCTGCTTTTTTGTGTAGTAGATGCTTCCAAACGATGCCAAATATTATGTAAATTTATCTGTCGCATGTTGGCTTCATTTTGTCCAGGAGATGAAAAAAACCTAAATTGTTTGTCATATGAAGACTGAAATGCCTGTCCTCCAAGAGATTCTTTGTGCTGCAAACCCAATGGCAAAATATTTCCTATAAAATCTAACTTTTAACCTTGCCCTTTATATCTTTCTAGGCTTTGCAGAACAGGTATGGCAGAATAAGTATATCACCTAATTTGTATAAATAAAATTTTCATGTATTTCAGCAATATTTTTCTGAGCGCTTGAATGAAAAAGTATTTTTATACACTTTACAAAGTTACTATTGTTTGAAAGTTTAACTTACAAAAGGTACAACTACTGATTTTCAGGTTGGACTATTAAAATAGTTCACATAACATCTGTGAAATGGTAGAGGTTTGTATTATAGGTCCCTTATTACACAGGGGTGCTTTTGCCTGGCAGTTTTTAGTCCAAGTTGGAGCAGTTCCTTGCCTGCTGAAAATTTTTGCTGCTTCTGTACTAGCAGAGCAGCATTCTGTATTGAATGGAATATTGCCCTACCAGTTCTTTTCAGGTAAAAAGGTTAAGTAAGTGATGAGCTGGGAAAAAATGGAGGAACCTCCTGACAGTGGAGAATTTCTTGTTCTGGAGAAATTAATGTCAGTGCTCCTTTGCGCTGGAAAGGGGCAGAAGTCCTTGAACTTGTCTGTGGTCCATTTGGTGATAAGGGAGGGATGAATTTGCTGTTCATTAAAAGTCTGGCCATGGTAGTCACTGGATGCTGACTACATTTACTAGTAAGCAAAAAGGCTCTTTCTTATTCTCTGACATTTATGTTTATATTTTATTGTAAAAAACTGCTAAGAAAAATCAGAGTTGATTTCTGTTAGATCAGGTTTTGTTTGTTTGATCATTTCTAGACCACTTTTACAGTTTAAGTGTACTAAATTTAAACTGTATTTACAAGCATCTTGCAGTAAGGAGTGTCTTGGGGATTTATAACAGAGTGGTACTTTGTTTTCCTGAGAACACCTTTCAGGACTTTGGAAGCAGTCTAATATGTGAATCTTGTGTCTCAAACAATGAACCTCTAAAAAAACCAAACTGTGCTTAAACAGTTTGAAACCTTCTTGATTTTTTTTTTTTTTTTCTTCCCTCTTTTAAAGGTGCCTTTGAACTTCTTACTGTTTCTCCATCGGCTAGCAGAAGAAGCCAGGACAAATGCTTTTGAGAACAAAAGTAAAATAATTAAACCTGAGCACGCTATAGCTGCAGCAAAGGTAATGAGGCTTTTAAAATATTTTTTTGTTTAATGTAAAATTTATTATGACAGCATATGCAAAAGTTTTCTGTGTTAGTGTTGATAAGATTTTATTTATAATCCAAAAGCTGCAGAAATGTACTGTTCTTTAATCCATCGTTGGCATAATTCACTGTTACCAAGACATCAGGTTAACTCTCCTTGCCCTGTTAAATATAGCCCTACTTCTCTTGACTATTCCGTGTTTAAATTCATAGTTCCAATATGCGGGTAAGTCTACACAGTAGTCTACCAGCAAGCATCCGTGGGCTTGGAAGCTCAGGGAACAGGAGCAAATTCCAAAGTTGGAGGATCTTTATTTCAGATGATACTGTATCAAGGAAGCATGTTCTCTTAACTTCAGTCATATAAATGAAGCTGTATGGAACGAGTGAGAAATAGTTCAGAGAGGTTCAAATATCTTCCTTACACCTTCAGTTCTTACCTGTTTAGTCTGAAAGGTGCTTGAAGTGGATTCTTGCAGCATTGTGCGGATACTACTTGAACAAACATACTTTGTGTTTGGCAAGGGAAGAACTAAGGGAGGTTTGAACTCTGTGGATTGCTGTGTGGGTAGTTCAGCATAACAAAAATTGCTGTATGAATATCTGTGAAAGAGGAATCTTCTGCATTACAGAGCATGGCAAGTTTTGCGTACATGCAAAAGAAGGGA